CATCTCCCAGCCCAGCACGGTCCCTGGCTGCAGGACAACCCCCCTGCTGATTCCATCCTGCCAGGGACACTCTGGGAGCATCTCCTTGCTCTTCCCTGTGGCACGGAGGCAAATCCCATCGTGTCCTTGTCCTTTCTCCCCCAGGGAAGGAGCTGAGGATGGAGACTCCTTGCTAAAACATTTGTATAGAGAGTAAGATGAGACAAATTTCTACAAAATTTGGTTAACTCCTTCCAAAAGCATTTAGATGGAGAGCAAAATGAGAGAGCAAAATTGGAATGTCTACTGAATGTGAAAAGGAATCTTAGCAGACAAATGCACCTGGGGCTACTTAAGGCTGAAGAGTGGGAGAATGCATTGAGGGAGATGTTGGACAGGGATGAGGAGCCAGTGCTGTGAGCACAAGGACATGGACAGCAGGTCAGATAAGGAAGAGTTGGGAAAGTGCAGGAAGAATTGGCATGTGAAAGGGAGAGGTGAGCTCAGGCTTGGAAACTTTGAGAAGGAAAGAGAGTGACTAAGCCAGGACAAGAATCAGTAGGGTGAGAGGGATGAGGAGAAGGAGGAAAAGGCAGAAGTGTGGGACAAGGAGATGAAGCTGGAGAAGTGGCTGTGGAAGAGAAGGGAGAGCCAGGAGATAAGGCAGTGGAAGGAAGAGAAGAAGAGGCACCTAAGGGAAAGGGAGAGGCTGTGGAAGGGCAGGCAGAGACAGCAGAAGTGTGGGCAGCAGCTGCTGGGGAGCAGGAAGAAGTTACAGAAGAGAAAGTGCAGGGATCCTTAGGGAACCAGGTGTTTTCCTAAGGGTAAGTGATCTTCATAATCCCTGATCCCAACATGCAGAGGGCTGTTTATTGTTCGGGGGGTTTAAATCCCGTGGAGAGGGAGAGCAAGCTTTGGGAAGATGGTGTTGTTGCTGAGCATGATCAGGAGAAGGAAAAGAAGCTGCAGGCAGAGGGGCTGCCCAGTCTGATGGTGTGAGGAGGCTGCAGGCAGAGCTTGGTGATGGGAGATGAGAGAGTGGGAATCTTAGAGGGAGAATGACAGGATGTAGATTCTATAGCCCTAAAGCATATTGAACACAGAGATGGTGGTCAAGGTTGGTCCACTGCTACCATGCAGTGCCATAGACTGCACCTGAGATATGCAAGTTATTTCAGGATCAGTTAAATGAAGAGGTGGGAGACCCTATAAGTATTCCCACCCTGAATGTGAAGGTTGTGTTCACACTAACCCAAGCACAAACCATAGGTGAAAGCACACACAAAGAGCTTTTAAATGATGGTTCAGTTATTAACCCAAGCCCAGTTCCATCCAAGCAAACAAAGCCATTTCTCTACCTGGGTGCTATAGGACTGGGCCAGGGGAGAAGAAATTCAATATACCTTTCACCAAACAAGCCAATTAAGCTTAAGCACCACACATGGTGACCAGTTTTCATGGATTTATCCACTATTAGAACAGTGACTAAAATATTTATCTTCGGTCAGTTCTTTGTGGGTAGCTGCCAATGCCCATGATAAACAGCATTGTATCCACATGAACGAAATGGTGTGAAAAATCTATTTATCATAAGAAGCTGCACAGCTTAACCTCTTAACCAGGTTAATTCTCTTCATCCAAGAACACTCAAAGAACTGGTGATATTATCACCAGGCCTCTTAATGATTTTTGAACAGTTTTGGGAACGTGGAGATGTCCATGCTGACTGGATGCTGGCTAACAGTTTTCCAAAAGGTCAGGAAGGATGACCTGGACACCACCGGCCTGTCTGTCTCACTTCAGTGCCTGGTGAAATGATGGAGAAGATTATTCAGGAAGGCACTGAAAAACATCTGGAGGACAATGCAGTCATTGGTCACAGGCAGCATGGCTTCATGAGGGGGAAAGTCCTGCTTCTCAAAGCTCATTGCATTTTATGACAGTATAACCCACTGAGTCGGTCAGGACAGCTGATGCCATCTATTTGAATTTCAGTAAAGTTTTAGGTCCTGTCTCTTCCGGGAACCTTCTGGAGAATATGTCCAGCCCCTGGTTGGATAAACATGTAATGTGGTGGATGAGCAACTGGCTCACAGGTCAGGCACAGGTGACAGAGCCTGGGGTGACACCAGACTGGTGATCTGTCACTAGCGGGGTCTGCCAGGCTCCACTGTCAGCCCTGTGCTCTTCAACATCCCCATGAAGGACCTGGATGCAGGACTTGAAGAAATATTAAGTCGAGTTTGCAGACAACACTAAATCTCCCTCAAGGGCAGAGAGACATCAACAAATCTGAGAGATGGGAATCATCAAGCGTATGAAGTTTAACAAGGCTGAAGGCACTTGCAGGACACCCCATAGCAATCTACAGCTTCTTCCTGAGGGGCAGTAGAGGGGCAGGCAGCAGTCTCTGAGCTCTGCTGACCAGTGACAAGACCCGAGGGGTGGGTGGAAGCTGTGCCAGGGCAGGGTCAGGCTGGAGATCAGGAAAAGATTCTTCCCCCAGAGAGTGACGGGCACTGAGCGGCTCCCAAGGGAATAGTCACGTTCCCAAGGCTGCCAGAGCTCCAGGAGCATTTGGACAATGCTTCCAGGCAGAGCCAGCAGTTGGACTTGATGACCTTTGTGCATCCCTTCCAGTTCAGGATATTCCATTATCCATTGAGAATCCCTGGAGGAAGTGCCATGTGCTAAAGCACCAAGAGCAGTTCCTGGCTCCTGGGCAAGAAGCAGACAACAGCTGCGTGCTTCGCAGTTAGAAATCTCCATGAAAACATTTTCTGTGTTCTGAAAGGTGGCACTGCCTGCATAGCAGTGTGTGGACCTTCAGTTTAGCACTCTTTGTGTCTAGAGTTGAACGAGGAATGTGCAATGGTGATTGCACACATTTCCTACAGTCACTTCCATACCAGGACCAGACCTGGAGTATGGGGAGCAAGCTCCAGATCCAAGCAACATCCCCTCAAACTGCAGAATATTAAAATATCTCCTTGGGATTGCCAGAGGAAGGGGAAATTTGGGGCAAGGGGAGACATGGTAATACCCCAAAAAGCCTCCCAAATTGTCCCTCTAGACCTTCCCAAACTGGCCCACGTTCACCCTGTAACCCATCTGCCCCCAAATCATCTCCATCGCTGACCACCCATCCTCATCACCCCAAAATTCATCACCCGCCACCCATCACCCCATAACCCATCAGCCCCCAAACTGTCCCCATAATCCCCCAACCCATCATAATCACCCCAAAATTCACCACCCCTTAACCCATCACCCCATAACCTATCACCCCCCACCCATGATCACCCTCACCCATCATAATCACCCCTAAAGTCATCACCCCCACCTATGACCCCAAACCCATCACCCCCCAAAACATCCCCAGAACCCCCCACCCAACATTGCCACACCACAACCCATCACCCCCACCCATAATTACTCCAAAATCCACGCCCCACCCCATCACCCCTCATCCCCCAATCCACCCTCACCTGCCCCATCCTGCACCCCCAGCTCTGCCCTGGCGCCGCTGTCGCTGTGTCCTCTCCTCCTGCCCACGGAGCCCAGGTACCAATGGAGGGGTGGCCTCGTCCCCTCGTGTCCCACCGGGTCCCCTCGGGCGTTTCCATCGCACCCTGACCCCTCCCCGCTCCCTCCACCCCCTGGGGACACCCCTGACCCCCCCTTTGAAACCCTGGGGTGCCCCTCAGCTGGGGGAGCTTGGTGGCACCACAGGAACCGCTCTGTGCCATCCCCGAGGTGGCACCTGCGCTTTTTTGTCACCGCCACCCGCCAATTTGTCACCAGCGCCCCAAGGCACCACCCGGAGCTGATGTTCTGGAATGGGGTTTATTTTGGGGGATTTTGGGTTGGGGGCTACTGGGATGGGCTGGTGGGACAGTGGGATGGGCCAGGCTGTGGCCAGGTTGGTGGTCATCTGGGCTGGGGGGCAGCAGGGCCAGGCGCTGTCCAGACCAGAGTCCAGGTGGGATCCATGGTCTGGTGCCCATCCAGACCGGTGTCCATCCAGAGCGGGATCCATGGCTCTGGTGTCCCAGGTACAGGGGGAGGGGGTCTCACGTGAGAGGGACACCTGGATGGGCCAATGTCCAGGGGGTGGAGAGCATCCTTTGAACCTGCCAATCACTCTACGCTCCCCTGGAATTTCTGGTTGATAGACAGTGCCCAGCCGGAGTCAGGGTGGGGAAAGGAGAGTGACTGACACCTGGGGAAGGAAAGTTCAGGGGAGGGACCGGGGAAGCTGAGGCACACCATGACAACACACCGCAACAGGAGAGTGCCCAGAATTGGGGGAAAGGTTGGAAAAGAGGGAAAGGATCCAAAATAGGGGGCAAAAGACCCTAAATAGGGGGGAAGTGACCCAACATGGGGAAAGAACGCAAAATAGGGAGAAGGAACACAAAAGAGGGGGAAAAGATACAAAAGAGGGGAAAAGGTCCCAAAGTGGGGGGGAAAGGACCCAAAATCAGAGGAGAAAGGGTGTTGTCGATGTCGTTGGGTATCACAGTGTGTCACAGGGTGTTGTGGCGTGTCCCTACCTGTGCTGGGGCAGGCGCAGGCACTCGGTGCCAGGAGCAGCCACGGGAACATCCTGAGGGACAAGGTGATACCATGAGGGCCCCGGGACCTTGGGGACTTTGGCCCCACCAGGGCCGGGGGACAGGGACATCAGGGGAGGGACAGGGACACACAGAAGGGTACAGGGAGACATAGGAGATGGGGACAGTGACTCACAGGGAGGACAGGGACACCGAGAGGGGTGACAGGGACACACGGGACACACAGAGGAGTGACGGAGCCACGGTGGGGAATGGGGACGAACAGAGGGGATGGGACACAATGCCACCAGGACACACATCAGGGGACAATGTCACCACACCTGTGGTGACCACCAGGACACTTCTAGTGACACCCAGCACGGGGCCACGTGACTCTGCATGTTGCTGTTGTGTTAGGGACAGCTGAATGAAGCGACACATAGACTCTAGGTCTTCAGGAGGCAATGCAAAGTTTATTAGAAAACCACATTCCCTTTATAGACAGTTACGATAGAATTTAAACTAACTGGTCATTAATCAACACCCCTCACACCATTGGCTAATTACAAACCACCCTTCTTGTAAACATCTTACAAGTAACAAAGACACCAGCTGCAAAGATTAGAAATTGTTTGTAGTTCTTTGAGTGTTCTCAAAGCTCCCCAGCACAATGCCTGGGAAAGATTATCTGACTTTCTCTCTGACCAGGCTGCCAATATCCAAATCTGTGGGAGACACTGACCCTTGCCCGGTCACCAGCCTGTCGCCAGGGGTGGTTGGGTTCCCCTTAGTGCAGTGGCCCTGGGACACCCTGGTGGCTGTCACTTGCTTCTGGGCCACTTGTCACCAGCTGAACAAGGTCCCCGTCCTGCCCTGATGGGTGGTGACATTCGGCTGGGACACTGCAGTGGTAACAGTGGGGACGTGGTGGCAGGAACTGCACCACGCAGCACTTGGCCATGGCAAAGATGAAGGTGGTGGTGGCACAGGTGGTGGCACTGATGCTGTCCTAGCTCATGTCCCCATCCATGTTTCCCATGTTCTCACATGTCCCCATCTATGCCATAGTTCAATGTCTTTATTTTTACCACAGTTTCAGGGCTTTCAAAAGTATGAACAGAAACTTTTTCGTTTCAAGGCCAAAATAAAACGATTTACGTGCCCCTGCCAGCAAAGGATCCACATGCTTGGGTGGGTGGGAAGAACCCTTTTTGGAGGGGTTTCCACCCAACTGTCTCCAAAATCAGGGGTTTTGCCCCAATCCATCCCCATTAGGCTGTGGAAGATGCCTGTGGGCCAGAGAGAATTAAAATGATGCATTTATGATAGAGAAGATCTCCAAGGCTTGATGTTGCTTGATGCCACCAGAAGATGCAAACAGAGAGATTTTTCTGGGGCTCAGAAGTCAACAAATCCCCTCTCCAAAATGGATTTTTGATGTTTGGCTGATGCTGATGGGGAGCCAGAAGGATGTGGAGCTCCCAGCCACGTGTCTTTCCAACAGGGATCACCAGCACCACAGATCACCGGAGGTCACTGGGATCATCCAGGGTGGATCCTCCTGTGTGGGATGGAGCTGGAGCAGCACACAAAGCTCTTCCTGCACACAGGGCACTCACAGGGCCTCTCTTAGTGGTAGTTCCGTTGGTGTCTGGTCAAGACAGACTTCTGTGAGAAGCTCTTCCCACACTCAGAACACTCATAGGGCCTCTCCCTGGTGTGGGTGTGCCGGTGGCTGGTGAGACTGCAGTTGTGAGTGAAGCCCTTCCCGCAGTCAGGGCAGCGGAAGGGCCTCTCATCTGTGTGAAGCTGCTGGTGCAGAATGAGATTAGTGCTGAACGGAAATGTCTTCTTGCATTTATCACACTCGTAGGGCCTCTCCCCAGTGTGGCTCCTCTGGTGGTAGACCAGGTGGGACTTGGACATGAAGCTCTTCCCACACTCCCCACACTCAAAGGGCCGTTCCCCTGTGTGGATCCTCTGGTGGACAATCAGTTCAGACCTTGACCTCTTCCCACACTCTGCACACTCAAAGGGCCGTTCCCCTGTGTGGGTTCTCATGTGGCATGTCAGGTGGCAGCTCTTTGGGAAGCTATGCCCACACGCCCCACACTCATAGGGCCGTTCCCCTGTGTGGGTTCTCTGGTGGATGGTCAGTTCAGAGCTCGTCCTGAAGCCCTTCCCACACTCTGCACACTCGTAGGGCCGTTCCCCCGTGTGGGTTCTCACATGGGCAGTCAGGGTGGAGTGCTGGGTGAAGCTCTTCCCACACTCAGGACACTCATAGGGCCTCTCCCCGCGGTGGGTGTGCAGGTGGGTGATGAGGACAGACTTGAGCTTGAAGCCCTTTGCACAAATGGGGCAGCAGAAGGGCCTCTCCTCGGTTTGGGGGAAAAACAAGGGCTGATCACGTTGGCTTTGATAGTCCCACTGCCCAAGAAGTCAGCACAGCTGGAGAAGTCAGCGCCCCTTTCAGCCTCGGGGGGCCCTTACCCCGCTCATGCCCAGCCTCCCCCACCCCTCCAGCCAGCCCGTTCGTCCCCCGCCTCCGGGATCGCCCCTCTGCGCTCTCCCCGCTCCGGGGCTCCCGCCTTCCCCCGGCTCTCCCGGGCATCCCCGAAGCCGAGATCGCCCCTGTGCCCGCAGGTACAAGGCACGTGGGAACCCCCCAAGGGTTATTTGTGGCTCAGCTCTGGAGTCCTGCAAGATCCAAACATCCCCCGCCCCACAAAAAAACCCTCCGGAGACTCCCGATGGATCTGGGGCGAGCTCCCCCTCCCCGCTCCCCTGCGGCTCCCGGAGGGGGCGATGCAGCAGGAGCCGGGGCAGCTGCGGCCGGAGCGGGGAAACCGCGTGCTGTTGCTGCTGCTGCTGCTGCTCCTCTGTCCCTCCTCTTCCTCCCGCTGCTCCTCCGCTCCCAGCCCGGCCCGGGCAGCGCCGGCACCCAAAAGCAGCCGCGCTCTGCCCTGGGGGGTTCCAAGCGGTCCCGCCCTGCGCGGCACTGGGAGTGATACTGGGAGCACTGGGAACGATCCGGAGAGAAGCGGCAGCGATGTTGGCAGCAGCGGGTGGCAACTGGGAGCGCTTTCCCTGCCGGGGCCGCTCTTACTGGGAGCACCGGGAGAGAACTGGGAGCAAACAGCGCCCGGACGGTACAAACTGAAAGGGCGGGGTTATGCAAATATAGGAGCGATCGCGCGCTGGGATTGGTGGGCGGGAGCAGGGCGGGGTTTGGTCGGTGACGTCACGGCCGGGGGCGGGGCCGGTGAGAAGGGACAGGGAGCGGGAATGGGGACAAGGACCGGGAACGGGAACAGGGAGCGGCAGTGGGACTGGAAATAACAGACAGGGACCGGGAGTACGGGACTGGGACACTGAATATGGAAGTGGGACCGGGAATTGGGCTGAAAATACGAGACAGAGATTGGGAATGGGGCCGGGATTACGGGACACGGGCCGGGAATAGGACAGGGAATACGGGAGAGGAACCTGGAATGGGACCGGGGAGGGCAATATTGGAACAGGACAGGGAATAGGGAAACAGCAAGCAGAGCAAGAATATGGGATGGGCATTCTGATTACCGGGATCAGAAATGAGACTGTGACTGGGAATAGAAAAATGGGAACAGGAGAGGGAATATGGAAATGCGGGACTGGCAGCAGGACTGGGAATAGGACAATGGGAACAGGACAGGGAATATGGGACTGGGAATACAGGAACAGCAGCCAGACAGAGAATACAGGACAGGGAATAGGATCTGGACTGGAATGAGAGCAGGATGGAAATGGGAGTGGGATGATACAAGAATGGGGCTGAGGGGGATCCTGGACGGGGGACAGCAGGTAGTGGAGACGGTCAGGCTAGAGCTCTCTCTAAAGCTCTTCCCACACTCCCCACACTCGTAGGGCCGTTCTCCTGTGTGGCTCCTCTGGTGGAGAATCAGGCTGAATCTCACTCTGAACCTCTTCCCACACTGCCCACACTCGTAGGGCCTCTCCCCGGTGTGGATGCGCCGGTGCCTGATGAGGTCGGAGTTGTCCTTGAAGCCCTTCCTGCAGTCGGGGCAGTGGAAGGGCCTCTCGTCTGTGTGAATGCGCTGGTGGAGCAGGAGGCAGGAGCTGGTGTGAAACCTCTTCCTGCACTGATCACACTCGTAGGGCCTCTCCCCGGTGTGGATGCGCCGGTGCTTTACGAGGGTGGATTTCTCCCTAAAGCCCTTCCCACAGTCGGGGCAGTGGAAGGGCCTCTCCTCTGTGTGAATGCGCTGGTGACTTAGGAGACAGGACTTGGTCTGAAACCTCTTCTTGCATTTATCACACTCATAGGGCCTCTCCCCAGTGTGCATCCTCTGGTGGACACTTAGGTGAGAGCTCTGGCTGAAGCTCTTGCCACACTCCCCACACTCATAGGGCCTCACCCCTGTGTGGATTCTGCAGTGCTCCACCAGGTTGGATCTCCACCTGAAGCTCTTCCCACATTCCGAGCACTTGTGGGGCTTCTCCCCATCCTGAAGCTGCTCATGGACCCTCAGCGCCGAGCTCTGGCTGCCTCCCCGGCCCAGGGTGGGTCTTTCCTCCTTGGATCCCCGTGATCTGCGTTTGCAGCCCCTCCTCGTGAGGGATCTCTGAGGCTTTTCCTCCCCGTTGGATTCTTGTGCCGTGGAGCCACTCAAAACGCCCTCTTCCACGAGGTTCTGCTGCGAGGATTTGTCCTGCCTGGTCTCCCTCCTCAGCTCCTTCCCTAAGGAGGAAGGACAAGGACAGGATGGTATTGGCCTCTGTGCCACAGGGAAGGGCAAGGAGATCCCCCCAGTGCATCCCCAGCAGGACAGGGTCAGCAGTGGGGTTTGCTGTCAGCGCTCTTCCTCCCGCTCCTCCTCCCTCTTCTCCCGGGCCGGCCCGAGCTGGTGCCGGCACCCAAATACGGCCGTGCTTTTGCCCGAGTGGGCTTCAGAGCAGCCCTGAAGGCCATTCAGACCACTGGGAGTGATATTGGGAGCACTGGGAACAACAGGGAGAGTACCGGGAGAGCTCCGGAGAGCACCGGGAAAGAATTGGGAGCGCTTTCCCTCCCAGCTCCCCCAGTAAGAGCGATACTGGGAGGGAACTGGGAGCAAACAGCGCCCGGACGGGCGAGCGCATGGGGGGGGAGACAAAACGAAGGGCGTGGTTATGCAAATACAGGAGCGATCGCGCGCTGGGATTGGTGGGCGGCAGCAGCGCGGGCTTTCGTTGGTCCCGTGAGGGCCGGAGGGGCCGGAGCGATGGCGGCGGCGCCCGGTGAGAGGGGACAGGGAGCGGGAATGGGATTGAGAATGGGAATATGGGAACGGGACAGGGAATACGGAAACAGCAGCCACAGAGAGAATACGGGATGGGGATTCGTGCTGCAGAGTGCCCAGGCGAAACCCAGCAGGGGCTGTGAGCTCTGCAGCTGGGCCTCCCCTGGGCTGCTGCGGCCCAGGGCCCGGAGCCGGGAGCTGCAGCCTTGCTCCTGCCTCAGGAACAGGAGCCTCCTCCAGGCCCATGGCCCCTCCGTGGCCCAGCATGAGGGAGGGCTCTGAGCCACAGCGGCTGCTGGCAGGAGGGGCTGCTCCGGCCAGCTGGGGGCCTCTGAGAAATGCCCAAAGCCTTGTGCTCTCTGCAGCTGGCCAAGGACAGCAGCAGGGCTGAACGGTTCGTGTGGCACAGCCAGCCCCAGCTGGGGAGCCCTCAGGGCCCCATGCCAGAGGCGACCCTCGGGACTGGGATTGGGAATGGGGACAGGAACCGGGAATGACTCTGGAATTATGGGACAGGGACTGGGATAGGGACCAGGAATGCGGGACTGCATCTGGGACTGGGAATGGGAACTTGGACCTGGAATGGGGCCGGGGATCTGTATATGGGAACGGGACATAGAATATGCCAACAGCAACTGGAGAGAGAATATGGGATGGGGATTAGGAAGATGCAACCAGGATCACAAACAGGAATACTGGAATGGGACTGGAAATGGGAATATGGGAACAGGACAGCTGATACAGAAATGGAAATATGGGACCAGCAGCAAGTCCTGGAATACCAGAATGGGATCAAGGCAATGATCCCAAGGGAATATGGGAACAGCAACCAGGCAGAGAGTATGGGATAAGGACGGGGAATGAGACTGGAAATGGGATCCAGACTGGACGAGGAGTGGGGTGACATGGGAACGGGTGATGGACAAGTGCAGTGACAGCAGGGAGAGGGTAGATTCCAGAACCGAGCTCAGAATACCTTTAAAGGTTCAGGTGCCGTGGGGATGTTTGGATCTTGCAGGACTCCAAATGTGAGTCTCAAATGCCCCTCAAGGGGATACTGGGGAGTCCCCGGAATGCGGGGTTTTTGGGGGAGCCCGGTGGCAGCTGCCTGGAGATATGGGATGGTGTGGGATGGGATGGGGCCTGGGATGTGGATTGAGGTGTGGGATGAAGTCTGAGGGAGAGGGATGGATGGGATGGGGCCTGGGAAGGGTAGGATGCGGATTGGGGTGTGGGATGAAGTCTGAGGGAGAGGGATGGATGGGAGGGGGCCTGCGATGAGGCAGCTGATGGTTTGGGATAGTGAGGCCGGGGGGGACACCATTCCTTATGGGCTTGTGGGGTATCTACCACCTCTGAGGGAGTTTCAGAGTACTGCCTCATCCTGAGGGGAGTTGTGCTGGCAGCAGGGGACACATGGCTCTGGCTCCTCTGGGTCCCACCTCACCCCTCCTCCTCCCCAGTGCCCCCTGGAAGTGGAATTTGGAGAGAGGTGAAGAGTGCCCAGATTGGGGCCCCCCTGCGCTGTCCCAGCCCTGCCCGGGCACTGCTGATGCCACCTGGCCACACTCCGCACTGGTCCAGTGCTCCCAGTGCCATGTAGGGTGGGGCCGCTTTGGGGAGCCCCCCAGGGCACAGCACAGCTGCTTTGGGGCTGTTGGCACCGCCCAGCTCTGGGCATGGGGAGAGTGGGGACAACTGGGGCCATACTGGTGGCACTGGTGGTGCTCGGAGCTCCCCCAGCTGAGGGGTAATGGGTGACATAGAGGGGGGGTTTGGGACCCCAAATTGAGCAAAAAGCGGAATGGGACCCCCAAACTGACCAGGAGGGGCCTGGAACCCCCAAAACAAAGCATAGAGAAGGGGGTTGGGGATTGAGGGGATGGTGGGGAAGGGGTGGAACAGCGGAGGAAGAGAGGGGTATGGGACACCCAAATTGAGTTGGGAGGTGTGTGTGGATTGAGGGAACACTGAGAAAGGAGAGGAGAGGGAAGGGAAGGGTGTTTCCATGGGGGTCCAGCCCTGTCCCCCAGCACTTGATCCCTGGAGTGATTTCCTGGGGCTCTAAGAAGAGGTGGACATGGATCTCCACTGGGGGGGGAGATCCATGTCCAGGGATCCATGTCCAGGGATCCCAAGCCCCCTGGCCGTCCCTGGGGGCTGATCAGGGGGCTCTCCCCACCCAGCAGCTGGTGCTGTGGCAGCCATGCAGCAGAAGAGGATGGGAGTGGAAGAGAAGTGGGAGGAAGAGAAGGGAGAGGAGGAGCAGGAGCTGGAGAACCACAAGGTTCCACCACCCACCCTCTGTGTCTGCAACACCCCAGCCCTGGTAGCATTTCCCCCCTGCGCCTCAACGTGCAGGTGACTGGGGAGGGGAACCTCACCCCAAATGTATCCGGGGTCACCAGGAGCTGTTTATTTTGGAGGGGTGTTTGGAGCTTGTAGATTCTGGAATTGAGCCCCAAGTATCTTTGCTCATTCTTGGGAGGGATATTGTGGGCCAGAGGGGATATCTGGATTTTGCAGGTGAGGAGGAAGTCAGTGCCCCTTTCCCCCTCTCTCCTGCTCCATCTCCCAGCCCAGCATGGCCCTGGCTGCAGGACAACCCCACTGGTGACCCTGGGGGATGCACTGGGGGGATCTCCTTGCCTTTCCCAGTGGCACAGAGGCAAATCCCATCCTGTCCTTGTCCTTCCTCCCCCCAGACAAGGAGCTGAGGAGGGAGACCAGGGAGGACAAATCCCCATGGCAGAACCTCATGGAAGAGGCTGTTTTGAGTGGCTCCACGGCACAGGAATCCAACAGGGATGAAAAGCCCTGGAGATCCCGCACAAGGAGGGGCTGCAAACATAGCCCAGGGTGTTCTGAGGAAGAAAGACCCACCCTGGGTCAGGAAGGTAGCTGGAGATCCAGCCAGAGGTCCAGCCTGGTGGTTCATGAGCAGCATCAAAGCAGGGAGAAGCCCTACACATGTGGTGAGTGTGGGAGGAGCTGCAGAGACAGCTCCGAACTGATCTGCCACCGGAGGATCCACAATGGGGAGAGGCCTTACGAGTGCTTGGAATGTGGGAAGAGCTTCAGCCAGAGGTCCAGCCTGACTGCCTGCCAGAGGTTGCACACTGGGGAGAAGCCCTACGAGTGTGGGGAGTGTGGGAAGAGCTTCAGACAGAGCTCCCACCTGATTTGCCATCAGCGGATCCACACTGGGGAGAGGCCCTATGAGTGTCTTGATTGTGGGAAGAGGTTTCAGACCAGCTCCAATCTCCTTCTGCACCAGCGTACTGTGGGAAGGGCTTCAACCTCAACTCCACCCTTGTTAGGTACAGGCGCATCCACACTAGAGAGAGGCCATATGAGTGTCCCCAGTGTGGGAAGAGCTTCACCCAGAGCTCCAGCTTTACCAGACACCAACGAAGGCACCAGTAAGGGAAGCCCTGCGAGTGCCCCAAGTGTAGGAAGAGCTACATCTGTGTTTCCAATTTCATCCTTGGTCAGAGGACCCACACTGGGAAGAGCCCTGGTGACCCACATTCCCTGTGATCCACATTGGGAAGACACCTGTCCCTTTCCCCACCCCTGCCAGTGATGTGAGGTGGGATCGAAGAACATGAGTGTCTGGCCATGCCTCCATCATTATATTCGATCTCACCTCAAGTCATTGCCTGGAACAGGGAAAGGGACTCTCTCTCCTGAGGAGAAGGGTGTCTTTTCTATTCGGGAGAAAATATATAGTCAGGAAGAGCTGGTAAGTACTATTGTAGTTTTCCCTGTAAATAAATTCTTTGTCTTATCCCTTCTGTTATCCATATTGTTGCTGTTCCTGTTTGTTCCTTATCCCACTGCTGTTCCCAGTAAATTGTTCTTATTCCATCCCAGGATCTTTGCTATTTGTGCTTTCCATGGGAGGCAGGAAGGCAGCGAGCAGCAGTGTGTTTTTAGTGGGATCAGGAGATTGGGGAGCCCCATTCCTGAACCCTGGCCCGAGCATCCCAGCTGGTCCCAGCCCTGGTGGCCATGGCAAGCACAACAGGTGGCTATGATGGTTGCCATGGAAACTGACCATAGCAACAGGGGGCTGGGGATGGTTGCCATGGAAACTGGCCGTAGCAACGGGGGCTGGTGACGGTTGCCTGCTAAGGAGCCAATTTGACACAAGCACTCAGAGGGCTTCCATGGCGACATTTCAAGAGTCTCCAAGATGTTCAAGAGCTGGAATGTCACAGGCAGAGACAGGAGCTCCATGGAGACCTCCCTGGGGGTTCAGGGGATGGTAAAGTGCCATGTGGTCAGAGGCAGTCACAGCCATTCCATGGTGACATCCCAGGGGAGCTTGGGCTGCTCAGGCACTGGTCTGTCACAGGCACTGACGGGGGCTCCATGGTGACATCCCAGGAGTCCCCAGGCTGCCAAAGAGCCGGGATGTCACAAACACTCATGGGGGTTCCTGTCATGGACAGAGTGGGAGCTTCAGGCAAAGTTTATTGGAGAAGCTCCTGTTGGGTCACAAGGTACAGAAAGGATCCACAAGACCCCCCACAGACCCAAAATCCCCTCCAGGACCCCCAGGATTACTAGACTTTTGCGAGAGGAGGCTGGGAGTGGCTGGATCCAGTCTCAGCCCCAGACTTTGTCAAGGGTTTATGTGCAAAGGATTAGAGAAGGGTAGTTGAACCTTTATGGAACTTGTCCCACAGGATTACCAATGGAACACCAGATATATATATATATATATAGATATATATAAATATAGATACAACTGATTATGATTATGACTAGACAAAAATATCTTATTCAGAAATATTTACTCCACTGCATAGGAGCTGTAACAACTATTATATATCGTGGTCTAAGAAGCAATTTTGAAGCAGTTGTATTAAAGCAGAACCAGTTATTAAGCAGAGATTGATGTCACTCCCCAAGACCAATGACCATGGGCAATGCTCTGGCTCAGCCTCGAGCAGTGACCTTGAGGGGCATCCCCACTCCAGGGAGGAATGTCCACACCCTCAAGAAGGGAAGTGTCAGGAGACACTGCCATTAAAATCTGTGATGGGGCTTTTCTAGTCTGAAGTGCTGCCCTGTCAGTCAGATGTGCCCAGGCTGGGACAGCTCAGCAGCTCTGCAGAAGCTCTCAGTGCTGTCCCTTGGTTGTTCCTTTCTCTGGGGATTTTTCCAGCTTTGCCACAGCTTCAGCTCCCTCTCAGGATATTGAACTTTGGGAGGGAGGAGTCAGGCTGGTTTCAGCATTATTCACCCCAAAAGCAGTGTGACCCCCCTCCTTCATTTTCCACTGGGGGCTTTGCAAACAGGGCCTTGCTGGAGCTGTTGGAGCCCATGGCAGGCAGAGCCTCCTGCTGCAGCAGGAACTGCCTTTCCTGTGCCAGGAGCAGGGCAGGTCCCGCTGCAGGAAAAGCCCCAGGCCAGCCCCAGCACAGGGAAGGGCTCGGGCACAAGGGCAGAGTGCCGTGCTGGGAGCTGTGCCAGGCAGAGCCTGAGCCACCAAAGGCACCTTGGCAGCAGCAGCTGCTTGCAGGGCATGGCCAGAAGCCTCCCTTGGCAGCCCGGCCTGGTGGCCAGCACTGCAGAGCTGCTGCCTCAGGGCTCATTTCTGCCTGGGCTCTGAAAAGCCACTTCTGCTCCAGCAGCCTGCCTGGGAAGCCATTGGCCCCAGCACCCTGGGGACAAGATATGAATGACAAAACTCTTCATGCCAGCAGAGACAAGGCAGGGGCAGAGGAAAGGGGAGAGCCAGGCCCAGGGGACAGGGCTGCCATGGTGATGGCTGTGAGGTCACTGCCCCTGCAGCAGCCTGGCTGCCCTCAGCAGGCATTCTGGCCAGAAGCGTTGTGAGGGCACCCAGCACATCAGAGAACCCACACAACAGGAATTCCTTCCTTGGGGAGGGAGTTTCACTGGGTCAGGTTGCACAAAGCTCCTGAACTTGGGTAATTGCTGGGATGAGGCATTCACTTCTTTGGAAAAACAGTTGCAGTTTTGCACCACTCTCATAATTGTAAAATATTTCCTTCTTCTAACAAATGTAAATCCACCATCATTCAGTTTAAAGATACTGACCCTTGTTCTGTCACTGCAAGATTTGGGAGAAAATAACACTCAATTTTTCTTGCACTTTGACAGCTATGTTTCTTTTTTCTCAGTCCTTGCAGAGGACCCAAAATCTCCCAAGATTTTGTTTGGGGTTTGGAGGCCTTGTCAAATAGCCAGCAGGAAGAGGCTGAGGGCCCTGGGTTCAGTCGTGTGGAGACTGAGGACAACAGGAATAGCCTGAGAGGGATTGAAGGGAGATTCCACAGATGCTGGAGCTTTTTTTCATTGATTAAAACAGCCTGATAAAGAAATAATGACACCAAGGACAGCTGGAGAGGCCCAGACTGGGCACAAGGAGAAAGGAATTTCCCTCCCAGGGCAGGGCGGTGATGCAACACATCCTCCAGAAGGAGCCTGGAGCAGCCCAAGGCTTTGTGTGGGCAGGCAGAGGCAGGCAGGAGGCAGAGCTGCCAGCAAAGGAAGGGGCCAGCCAGGTGGGGCAGCGGGGGATGAGGACAGCCTGCAGGGACAGAGGCCAGGGCAGGGACACCGTAGGACAGCCTGGGCTGCACAGGGCACAGGGATGGGCAGCAGCTGCAAGGCCCTGACAGAGCCACCTTGGGCAGCACTTTGGCCATGGCTGCTGGCCCTGGGCCTGAGCCAGGAGGGGACAAGTGACCCTGGCAGCCCTGGGGCCTCATTGCCTCCTTGTCCCTGCTCAGCAGCCTGGCAGGGGCTGCCCCATGGTGCTGCCCTTGGCATTGCACATCCCCACATCCCAGAGCCCATCCCGGGAAGAGCCCTGAGCAAGGAGGGAGGGACAGGATCTGCCTGGCCAGGGGCTGGGGCTCAGGCCTTGGCCCTTTGCATTCCTGAAACACATCCAGGTTTATTCAGCACCAGAAACACCTTTTCCTTGCTTGTCCCCAGCTGTCATCACTGCCTCCAGCGTTCTGCAACATGGGAACACTTTCTCAGTCCTGTCCCTCATAGGGATCTATGTAAAGTATGAGAAACTTCAGTGTTTCAACCTCACTTTGAGTTCTTGAGAAGTTTTTTGAGCACACTCTGAGGCACTGAGTCTGATGCAAACAGCACAAAGCCCCAGAGGGTGATTAAAGTCCTGGGACTGTGTGACATCACAGAGAAGGCTGTGACATCATCGAGTGGGCTGTGACAGCACTGGTTGGTTGTGTGACATCGTAGAGCAGGCTGTGACACACAGTGTGTTGTGACATCACAGAGTGGGTGGTGAGGTCACAGAGCAGACTGCCATCACAAAGAGTGGCTCTGCAATATCAGCCAGCAGGCTGTGACATCACAGAGCAGCTGTATGATGTCACAGAGAAAGCTGTGGCATCAAAGAGTGTGTTCTGCCATCACAGGGTGGCTGTGTGACATCACAGAGGGGCTGTGGCATCACAGAACGGTGTTGTGACATACTAGAGGGGCTGTGACATCCTAGAGCAGGCTGTGACATCAAAAAATAGCTGTGTGACAACCCAGGGCAGGTTGTGTGACGCCACAGCATCAACTATAACATCATAGAGTGTGCTATGACATCACAGGGCTCCTGACTGGACACTTCAGGCACAACAAGGAAACAAAGCAACTAAAAAACCAAACCAAATCCAAGCAATCAAACCAGAAATGAGCTGAGAATTGTCCCTGTGTGTGTTTGTGTGACAAAAGGACAGTGAGGGCAAGGAGGAAAGGAATACGGTGCAAAACCTTACAGAGCTCAAAATTAACAGGACTTAACTTATACCTTAACCTTAACTTCTACCCTAAACTTCACAATTTAGCAAAAGAACACCTCTTGACTAACAATTTAACAGAGGAATAATATTTAACAGTATTTAACTCAGCTTATAAGTTGCATTAAACTTAACAACTTAGGAAAAGAACAACTCTTAGCAGCATTGAACTTCTCTTTACACCTTATGACTTAACCTTACAGGCCTGACTGACTCAGCTATCCATGGCACTCCAACCCCTCAGAGAGCAGCATTTCTGCCACATTTCCCCAGCACAGGCACTCCTGTGTGCACACAGACACAAAGAGTCAGTGCAAGGCACCTGTGAGAAATTCCCCTGGGGGCAGGAAATGCTCCCTGTGGATGCTTTGGCATCTCCCCAGCGGGTGAAGGGTTGAGCCTGGAGGAGTGGGGGGATCGGCCCAGGCTCCCTCGTTGTTCAGGATCCCCGAGTGCAGCAAACGGGAGAGTTCCCGGCTGGGAGAGGCCCCACTCAGAGGGAGTCGCTGGCCCAGGAGAGCTCCAAGGGGCTCCTTTTGCAGCGCTGTTTGTAGGGCCCCAAGAGAGGGGCTGCAGTCACAGCAATGGTTCATCCTGGCCGCACTTGGCATCAACAGCTTTCTTTGGCACTGTGAGAACAGGGATGTTGTGCCACTGAGGGAACAAAAGCAGTTCTCAGGGCTGCTCCTCCAGCAACCAGGAGCTGTTTGGGCACAGCAGTGCCTGGAGCAGACAGTGTTTGTGCTGAGCTGCAGAGGAG